TGATACCTCTGAAATATCTAGGTGAGAAGATTTTTTTAAAATACTATCAGTGTATTAGAGTATTTATAAAAAATTTTCAATATAATAAAAATTTTCTTTTTCTATTAATAAAAAATAGAATTACCTAATTTATAAAAAAAAAAAAACTAAAGTAAAGTAATAAAAATGAGAAAAAAAAATTTTATCCGATGATGAGATTCTAAAAGTATTTCGAGTAAAAATGCTTTAAGAAATCCCTATGTGAGAAGATTTTTTTACATATTACCTGTTTATTAGAATATTTATAGAAAAACTTTAATATAATAAAAAAAATTTTTCTTCAAAAATTTAAATAAAAAAGAAATCAAATAAAATCAATAAAATTTCTAAATAAAAAAATGTGTGCATTAACATATTAGCATTTTTTGCATTACATGCACAACATGATTTTTACAAAAAAATAAATTCGAATCTCCGATGATGAATTCTAAGGTATTCCGAGAAGTGATGCCTAAAAAATTTGTAGGTGAGAAGGAATTCTTCTAATGTTACTAACGTACTAAAATATTTTAATAATTATTTCAATAAAAATGTTCTAATTTATTTTTCTCGAATAAAAATAAAATAATAAATAATAATATATATTAAAAAATTAATTTCCAATAAATGAAAAATCAAAAAAATTATTTTTTAAATATTAAAAATAAGACTATTTTTATCAAAATTAATAAATAACACGTAATTAATTGATGCCATTTTAAATGGATACTATGGGGATATTAATTTTTCTCCATATATAATCAACTCATATTTAGATTATTTTGTAGATCATAAAATTATTTTTTTAATAAATTTTAATTAATTTTAAAATTTTTTTAAAAAAAATTTTAATAAATGATTAATCGTATCTAATAAAAAAATTAATGATAATTTTATTATTTTTTATTTTATTTTTAAATTCATCGTATGAATACAAAATCATTACGATATCACGTTACATTCGCTTATTTCTCAGGTCCGGTTCAGACTCCAACAAATCCATACAGTTCCTTCAAGTTGGAAACAGAATGAGGTAGAAATTTCCATGGTTTGTGGTGACTTTGATTGATTGCTTAGTTTGGCGACTTTGATTGCCCTACCAATAAGATGCAAAGCATTTTTCCAAGAACGACTTTCAGAATTCTCGAAGCTTTAGAGTTGGGGTTGAGTTGGCATTATTATAAATTATTTTAGAAAAATTATTCGAGAAATTGATGTATTGATGTTGGTGTATGGAGAGATGAGAAACGATGAGGGGGGAGAGATGAAAAAAAATAAAAATGATGACATGATAAAGAATATCTCATTTGTTTTATTCTAGTATCATAAAGGTTTGGTTCTCTTTTATTTGGAAATATCACATCCCCAAAAGTAGTTTTACATGGCTTGCAATCCTGAATAATATTCCATCAAAATGCATTATTAGAACCAGAAGTCTTTAATGATAATCAATGCTTGTGTCAGTTTACGATTCAACAAAATTTTTATTATTATATGCACATTATTTTCGACATTTCAATTCATAAAAATACTTAATAATTTTTAAATCATATTTCTTTCAAACATTTTTTTTCAATCCAAACTTTTTCAAACACTCTTTTTTGACGACAACAACAACACTAGATTAGTTTTAAATAATACGATAAACCATATTCGATTTGGTCCGACCTGTTACTTCACGAAGCTACGGTGAAATTTCCTGGAAAAGGAGAAAAGCCAAGGTTGGTCAGGAATAAAGAACTTTGCATCAACTATATAAATTTGCAATGATACTAACTCTTCCTTCGTATCACAACCAATTATTCTTCCCAAAGTCACTCTTTTTGACTTAACCAAAACTCCATTTCTCCATCTTGTTTTCCTTCTACACCCTAAAGAAAATTTCTTATCGAAATCATTTGAACCCTTTTTTCCCTGTCGATTAACGTCTTTGATAAATCGTAAGCCTGGTGAACCAGCCATGTCTGATGCAGAAGTTATCCCGGTAGCAAAACGTCAGCAACGGAAGTGGCGTTCGGTTTTTGCAGCCATATATTCTGCCAGGACTCTTGTTTCTTTGTACAGGAAGGTTACCAACAAGAAGCAGATAATGCGTACTCTATCCCATATTGCCATTGATATCCATGACAATAATTCGAGTGATGATCACCTACCTTCTCTTCATGACAATAATTCGAGTGATGATCACCTACCTTCTCTCTGTGTTGATCAAAAAACTCTCACTGAGGTGGTAAGTGAGAAGAACCTGGAAAAACTAAGTAAACTTGGAGGAGTGAAACAGATTGCTGCAAGCCTTGCAACTGATGAGAAGGATGGTATCAGTGCCAATCAAACTGATCTTGCACGCAGGATTGCTATCTACGATGTCAACAGTTATCAGAAACCACCTTCCAAAAGCTTCCGTAACTTTTTATTTGATGCTTTTAAGGATACAACCATGATCATACTCTTGGTTTCTGCTATACTGTCCTTGGGTTTTGGCACTAAGCAGCACGACATGGAGGACGCGCGATACAATGGTGTGAGCATTATCGTTGCTGTCTTTCTAGTTGCTTCCATATCTGCTGTGTGTAACTTTAAGCAAAACAGACAATTCCTGAAGCACTCAAGTGAAAGGAATGATATTAAAGTGGAAAGTTCTAAGAACCGGGCGCCAACAATATATATCACAGTCTTTGAAGTTGTGGTGGGTGATATTGTGTGCTTGAAGATTGGCGAAAAAATTCCAGCTGATGGCTTGTTCTTGAATGGACATTCCTTGAAAGTGGATGAATCTAGCATGACAGGGAAAAGCGACCACGTTAAGATCAAATATATACTATTAATAAAATTTTTAATTTAAAAAATAAGATTAATAAAATAATACATATTTTTAAATAAATTTAAAAAATTAAAATAAACTAATTAAAAAATAAACATATTTGTTTATATAGTTAAAAAAACTTCATTTTATGTATATCAAATAATTACTTCTATTTGTAATTATAGACCAATGGGCTGAGAATAACAATGTCTCGACTTATCTTCAAAATGAAAATTTGTTTGAGGGCAACTGGTTGGCTTGTGAAGTTGTTTCTCTTCTGAAAGAAACAATTGAATGATACATAGCTAATAGCTATATAGATTTTCCCATCAAATTCCCCCATAAGAAAGTGTTGTTGTGGGATCTTTCCAATAAAATGATGCTTGAATATCCTCATCCAAAGTTTAGTTACCTTATCAAAATCAACATTTTCCATATTCTATTCATCAATTCCCCTCATTCTCCTTTTATAAATAGGGCTGTACATGAACCGAACATGAACAAATGAATGTATGTTTGTGTTTGTGTGTGTTTTTTTAAAGGTATTTGTGTTCAGTTCTTGTTCATTAAGAAATTTACTTTGTTTATTCATGTTTCTTCATTTAAATAATAAGTTGTTTATGTTCGGTTTTTATTCATTCAATTAAGCTAAACAAACTTGTTCATGAATATTAAACAAATATGTTCATGAACATATATAAATGAACAATTCATAAAAAATAAACAAACCATAACCAAACAAACCTTAAATGAACATCAACGAATCTAAACAAACATAAACGAACCTTAAAATAAGATTAGGATAAAGGATAAAAATATAATTTTATTAGTATTATTATAAACGAACAGCAAATAAATAATAACAAACAAGTTTTAAATGAGCTATAAACGAACTTGTTTGTGAATATAAATGAACGAGCAAACAACTTATCATATTTAGTTTGTTTAATAAACGAATGCATAAATAATATTTAAGATCATTTGTTAAGTTTAGTAAATGAACACAAATGAACAAAAATCGAATATATTAACGAACGGTTCGTTGAAAGCTATATTCACTTACACTTCTATCCATAAGTTTCCTCAACATTAGATTTTCTTCTGGCCTTGTATCCATTGCCACCTATCAATTAGATTCTTCAAGTTGCATTAATACAACCCAAACAACTTTCTCATATTTATATATATGTATATATATATATATATATCCACCAATTTTTCATCTACATTACAAGAAATTTTTTATATACTAACGTTTGGTTATACTAATGATCAAATTATGTTAATAAAATAGATTTATACTGATGATTTTTTTAATACCATCATAATATATCATACTTATACCAACACTTTATAGAACTGTTGATATAAATAAACTTTTTCTGACGATATATAATTATCCGTCAATATAAGTATGCTATATACTGACATTTACCTATACTGACGATTACATTATGTAAGTAAAAAGTATCTAAATTTATCGATTTTTGTTACTGTCAATATAGACAGTCCCTATACTAACACTTTATTCTTCCATTAGCATACATTGATCTTTTTTTTACAATATATAAATAACCATTAATATACATATTTATATATTAACGGATTGTATTTTAACTATCAGTATAAGTTATAATTAGTAAATACCATCCATAGGTACTTATATCCACGGAAGTAATTAATTGTTAGTATAGTTATAGGATATATTGGCGGTTATACCTACTTGTCAATATATAGTACACAAAAATTTTCATATATTAATGCTTAATTATAATGACAATCAAATTACATCAATAAAAGATATTTATACTAATGAATTTTTAATATCGTCATAATATATAATGTCTATATCAACACTTTATACAACTGTTGATATAGGTAAATTTTTTTGATTGTATATAAATATCTATCAGTATAAGTATATTATATACCAACAGTTATAATAATCGTGAGTATAAGTTTCAAAAACTATTTATTCTTTTTTTTTTTTGGAAAATATTAATTTATAAATAAAAATTTTCAAAAATTATAATTTCTTAAAAATTATAATTATTAATAAATAAAAATTGTAACTTAATTAATTTTAAATTATAATAGGTTCTAAATAAAATATTTAAGTATTATATTAATTAATAATTTATAATTAAATATTATATTAAATATTTTATAATATTATCATTAAACCAAAAATCCCGCAAAAAACCCAAAACTACTTTTTGCTCGTCCTCAAAATCTGCTTATGCTCCCTCCACTCCTAACCCCCACGATCCTTAAAACCCTAACCCTTTCCCCCCTCTAACAATCCCCACCTATAAGTGATCAAAATTCTCCAAGGGGAAGCCGAAGCCGAAGCCATGGCCATCGCAAATTCTAGAGACCTAGCCCTCTCACTCCTCACCGTTGTGAACAACCATGCCGATTTGGTGGTGAAGCTTTCGTCTCTCAAACAGGCCAAAGATATTCTTTCCTCTCTCGATTCTTGTTTTGCTGTCGAGCTTTTCCTTTACCTCGCCGGGCTCCAACGTTCTCCTCGGAGCCTCGTTATAAAATTTGTTGTCGAATGAGTTTCAAACCCTAATTCTGCTCTTGCTTTCCTTTTTTCTTTGTATTAATTCTTTATGATTTTGTATTCTTTTTCAGAATCCTGTCACTGCATTTTTACAGTTTGTTGTAATATTGTGAATTTGTGAAAAATTGAAAATGTTTTGTGTTAACTCTATAAAATTACTGATTTAATTGCTTATGAAGGATGGCTTTGATTTGTCATCTTATTGTATATCATTTTTACAGTTTGTTGTAATATTGTGAATTTGTGAAAAATTGAAAATGTTTTGTGTTAACTCTATAAAATTACTGATTTAATTGCTTATGAAGGATGGCTTTGATTTGTCATCTTATTGTATATTGGTAGAAAAGGTTTATCACTTTCTTTTATATGCTGGCTTTCTGTAGTGATTTTTAATTGCTTATACATTTTGACAGATCAACACTTGTTGTTCTTGGTCTAACAACATATGTCAACCTTGCATCCTTTAGACACTACTTCGGTTTAGGGAGCAACCCTGACGTGATAATTCAAAGCTGTTCAAATTTTAGAAATTTACCAGCTGCACCTCAAGCAATTATGTGTATCTGATCACCAAGTAAGCAGTTATGTGATAAATCTTAGTTTTCTTTCCATGGCTTCTCTTGTACTTTTTTTCTCTGAACTTCGTCGCCGCCATGAACCAAACTTTGCTTTTGTAACACCTCCTGCTTCTTGCGGCGCTTCAATGTCTTTACTTGCCAAGAAACCATTGAAAAATGATGCCAACAAGTATATGTCAGAGATTGTAGAGGAAGATTGACAAGAGCTAAGGGTTTTTGTTGACTTGTTTGGCCTTAATTTTATGATCTGATGCATGCAAACCAGAATTCTAGCCCCATACATGTTCTTTTGTCATCTCTGATTCTAGCCCCAAACTTGTAATTTGAATTGCCCTATATCTATATCATGTTCTTCAAACATACAAGAAAATGAATAAATTTTACTCCTATCTATGTGGTGAATAAGCCAAGGTGATCTACTTTAACTACTTATTCAAGACCTGACTGTAGGTAGCTGCTCAGCAGCTGGGAAATGCATTTTTATTTTTCAACTAATAGATGTAACTGAAAAAATAACCAATGAATAAGATAAATGCAATAAAGCTTACACAAATGAATAGGATAAATGAAAATCCTTATGTTTCCTTTGTCCTATGTTTCGAAAAATGACCATTTAATTGTTAGGAACCAAAAAAAGGTATACATACGAAGTGTGAGACAGATGAAATATCACAAGAGTTCGAAGGATTTTCATTTGGGTTTTCGAAACATAAGACTTCTGAAGAACAATAAAATTAATTCTCCCATGAAAAAGGATTAAAGATTGGGTTTAAAAAATCTTAGGCAAGAAATGGAATAAAAGCATATACTATTGTTGGCGTTGGGGGTGGGTATGGGGGTATGAGTCAGTCTAGGGTTGGCTTCGACTCCGTAAATGGAATGGAAGCAGTTCGACTGCAGCAACTAACATCACTTTGGAGAAGTTGGAGAAAGAATTGCTCCACCAAATTGTTAATGGCAGAGATAGCCAGGTCACCTTTGATCAGTTTCCCTACTATCTCAGGTAACTTTACATTTTTCTCATTCTTGTTTGATATTTGAAAAAGAAAATTTTTTTCATTGTAATAAAAAAGAATGTATTTTTCTTTTTCAGTTTTTGAAAACGTTTGCTTTTAATGATGGAAAACTACTGAACTAATAATGCTGATCACTTTCACATGCTCTTCTGTTTTCTTGAGTTTTTAAATTGAATTTCCTAGTTATCTCACTCATTTATTTTGTATATAACTATCCTAAGATATTTTGGCTTACCCATTATAGTATTATCTGGTAGCTTGCCAAACCTAAGATGAAGATTATTCCCTTTTTTTTGAACAAACAGGTTTTAAAGGCTTAAACTCAAAACAGGTTTGGATGGATTTTATAGCTTTATGCGTGTGCTTGATACTGAATGCCTAGTTTTACTGAATCTAATAACAAGATCAAGGTTGTGTTGCGTTCTACTTGATGATCATGTATCCAAGTTACAAAAAGGCAAAGAGAATAGGCAATATAGTATTGATAACATTGTTCGAATGATCTGCTTACTGGTGAGTTGTCATCCTATAGTCTAGTCCTGCTTGTTTTGACATCTTCATCCTGTTGGTTTTGTTTGGCAATGAGCAGACTCGAGCATTGCTGACTAGTGCAACCTATGTCCATTTGAAACATGCTGATGTTTTCAAGTACACCAGGAGCCTTTCCCCTGCTAGTCAAGCTATATTGCTATCAAGATCTGCAGGTTGGTTGCCTGGAGTCTTTTTTCTTACTGGCAGGCTATACTTCACATTTTTTGAATTATAGGTCTGTTTCTATAAAGGTGCTAATTGCATTTTTTTCTTTGTTTCTTGAAGAACTTTACCACCAAATGCTTGCCAAAGCTTTAGCCCATTACTTTGAATCAAAGCTGTTGTTATTGGATGTAACTGACTTTTCCTTAAAAGTGAGCATTGCAATTTTTCTCTTTCCCCATCCTTTACCATGCAATGTCATTAAGCTTCAAGTTTTTTACATTTGACATTTTAAATGGTTACCTATGTACAGATTCAAAGTAAATATGGAAGTGGCAAAAAATCTGTAAGTTTTTTTTCTTTTTACAGTCAAATTTTCTCATGTGGCAGATAGAAATGGGTCCCAACTGCGAAAAAATAAAAAATAACCAATGACTATAAAAGAGTGACTTTTTTACAGTCACTTTATTTTCTTATATTACACTAATGAATAGGATGTTTATAAAATTATTTTTTAGTATTGGTATTTATATATGAATGAATAAAATGTTTATAAAATTATTTATGTTGGTATATGAATGGATGATTACCTTCTTAACTTATTTATATATATATAAGATAATTTATAAGAATTATCTAATTGTGTTTTTTTTTATACTATGTAGATGCTTTTTTATAGAAATCTATGATGGGATCATTTATTTTAAGAAGTTTTTTATTTACTTTAAGCATTATGTTTGTAGATATTCAATGATATTTGTTTTATTGATGTTTATTTTATCAAATTTGGTACAATGACTTTAGTTCTTGAGCTATGCTAAGTTTGTAGATTATAAACAATTTACTTGTAGTTTTAATGTTATTAAATATCTTTTACTTTATTGTATATTTTTTGTTTATATGAAAACATATCATATTATGATTATAAATAAATTAATATTAATAATTGAAAATATAATTTTTAAAAAAATTTGCCAATGTCTTAACATTTATACTGATGCATTTGATTGTTGGGATATTGTAGGTGATACTAACAGTCATCAATCATCTATAAAATATAATAAAAATTTAAAATATACAAGCTTATATTGATAATCTTTAATCGTTGGTATAAGTAAAAAAAATTAAAAAATACAAGTTTATACTAATAGATATTATGCGTCAATATTGGTAAGAAAAATTACAAGCTTATACTAACGGGAGTTAACTGTCAGTTTAGATAAGAAAAATTAAAATATGTAAGTCTATATTGACGAATACTAACTGTCGATATAGATAACAAAATTTAAACATATAACTTTATATTGACGTGCTTTAAATGTCGGTGAAGATAAAAAAAAATTATAAGTATATACTAATGGGTATTAACCATTAATATAAGTAAGAAAAATTAAAACATACAAATCTATATTGATAAGTGTTAATCGTCGGTAAAAGTTATAATAATGGAACATATAACAGATGTTATACCAATAAATATATATTTATTGACGATTTTAAACTTTAAATATATTTTTACGAGCTATTTTAACATTTTAAAAATCATCAGTATAAGTTTATACTAATAAAAGATATATCGATAGTTAAAAATTTGTTGGAATATATATTTTGATCGTCGATATAGGATTTATTGTGTTATATTTATTGTGTTATATTGATAGATTTTTTTATTTTATCAATGATTTTTTAAATATCAATATATGTCAGTTTTCTTACAATGCTAAAATATAAACTGAAAATAACTCACACAGGCACCTTCCAATACAGCATCAAAGACAAAAGATTTCAGCACAGCCAACTTAAAATATGGGATGCAAAACTATTAGATTCATCATTATTAATTTGGTTTTGGCAATTGGGTTGAATATTTCTTAGAAGTTGACTGGTTTTTCTAATGGACCAGAAAAAATGCTAATGGTTAACAATGGGCCTAACGAAGCTGGTGAAGGACCAGTGATACTGGGCAAGGTTCCAACCACATTAAGCCTCAACAAAAGGTTCGTACAAGGCTTTCTAACTTTATTTTATCCTCCTTTTTATTTTCTTTTTCTTTTTAGATATCCACAAGTGGAAAAAGGAAAATGGTTTATTGTCATGATGCTTCATATATGCCAGCAGCAAAACGACAACAAAAGAGGTGGCGTTCCGTTTTCGCAGCCATATATCCTTCCATGACTCGTCTCTTTATACATGAAGGTTATTAACAAGAAGCAGATCTTGCGAACTCTATCCTGTATTGCCCTTGATATCCATGATAATAATTCGGGTGATGATCACCTACCTTCTCTCTGTGTTCATCAAAATACACTCACTGAGGTGGTAAGTGAGAAGAACCTTGAAAAACTAAGTAAACTTGGAGGAGTGAAACAAATTGCTGCAAGCCTTGCAACTGATGAGAAGCATGGTATCAGTGCCAATCAGGCTGATCTTGCAGTAGGATTGCCGTCTACGGTGTCAACAGTTATCAAAACCACCTACCAAAAGCTTCTGTAATTTTTTATTTGAAGCTTTTAAGGATACAACAATTATGTATTCTTGGTTTGTGCTATAAATAAAATGATATTATTTAATTTAATCTTATTCATGATATCATTTTATTTTATTATATCATAATTTTATGTATCAAATATGATATATATATATATATATATTAGTGGAATAAAAAAAAAAAAAGCAAGCTCCTGATTTTTTGGTGTAAGTGGGTGTGAAAGGGTAAGCAGCATTGTGATCAACAGATTGGCCGAAAATATGCTCTGTCTGTCGATCCTAACTTAATGATTTCCTTTCAATGTGGGAAATGGGAATTTCAAAACAAAACAGCCTTTTGACCACCAATAGAAGGTTAGCTCTTTCATCAACTAGTATTAAGTTACATCATCTAGCTTGCACATTACAACATCCATTAACAGTTCCTTAGTTTCTCCACTTTAAACAACTTGGACCAAAAGCTCTTGCTTTTAGTTGTGAAATTGAAAGAAAATGATAAAGAGCAGATTCCAGGAAAACATAGTAAAAAAGTTTCTTCAAACTAATGTGATATGGAAGTAAAGCGTTATTCTTTCATTCTTTGAGTGTTGTAACCATATCAGAATCCTAGACTCCATCTTCGCTCCCAATGGAAGAGGAAAAAGAAAAGCAACAAAAAGGGCTAAAGATAGCATAGGAAATAACAAGGATGACTCATTCATTCCTCAAATTGGAAAGAAACAAGGATAAGACCATAGCTGTAGGGAAAGTGGCATTGGTTATTCAATTGGAAACTCAGTCTTTCAGGCTGCTCTGTAACTGTAAGGGGGAAAATGTAATGGAAGAATTGCAATAATGAAAAATGAATATATGATCAGTTTCTCCTATTTCTTCCTTAATTATCTGATCATGAAATAATACTATTACAAATGTTCCCAAAAAGAATCAAAATGAATGGAAGAAACAGGCTAATATGTAATAGAATATCCTATTTTATACTGTTTGATTATAATCTCAGGTTAGCTGCTACTATAATCCAAAATCATTAACCCAAATGAAAGCAAAAAGGCATAATTATTTCAACAAATGTTATCAAAATGATGGATATTTTCAACAAATGATAAGTTTTATGCTGCCTACAATCATCACTTAAAAAGGATGATTAAACAAACAGTTAAAGAACAAGAGAGAGTACCTGGTCCTACAAAATATGGCACACCTTAACCCTTTTTCATTTTTTGCAGGTTTCATTATTGGAGTGGGGAACAGGACTTCGATTGCTATAGCGATAATGATAATGACTACCCATTTCCATATTTGGTCCTTGGAAACTACTGCTAGCTAGTACTCGTAATATGTACTAGGGTTGTTCATCCAAAGTACTTCTTTTTATTTTTTTGAACGTTAAATAAATAGAATGGTATCCGTTTGCATCGGAATAGATTTTTTTTTTTTAATTTCATTCGATTTTATATTTATAATATTTGAGTTTAAATTTAATTTAATAATTTTTTATTTTTAAATTTGAATTTGATATTATATAAAATTGAATTTGATTTTATTCAATTTGAAATTAATAAAATATTATATTTTAATATAAATATAAATTAAATAAATATAAAAAGTATAAAATATAAATATAAATATAAAATTAAATAAATAATTAAAAAATAATTTATATATATCACATCCGGTCGAAACAAGTTTGCTTAAACTCAATCTGAATTTTTTTATTATTATTACATGATTTGATTCAACTGATTTAAAAAAAATAATTTTATGAGATTAGATCAAACCTATCGAAAACAAATTAAACTATCATTCATATAAATAAAACATCTCTTAGTTGACCAAAAATAAATAAATGAATAAAACATCTCTCACAATCTTCACTTCTCATAAAATTCAAATAAGAAACTTTTAAACACTTATAATTTCTTTAATAATGAATTTAAAATTTCTTTAAAAAATGTTTTTTATAATATATATATAAATATTGATAAATTTATTAATTTTATAAATAAAAATGTGTTAATAAAAAATTTTTTAAGTGTTTGAAACTTTTTTTCTTCAAATTTTTTTGTTTTCAACTCTTTAAGATGAACAAAAAAAATTTTAAGGTGTAAAAGAATTTTTAAAAATTTTTTTTAATTTTTTTCTTTTGAGTTATCCATAGACATTTTAAGTGTTCATTGGATACTTCTTACTTAATTCTATATTAAAATTCCTGTCAACATGAATTAAAAATTATAAATAAAAAACCAATTCAAAAAAATTTGAACGAGTAATATTTTTGTCTAATGAATGAGATAGATAGAGATTGAATTTTAAGGTTGGATTTTTTTTTTTTGTTAAACAAAACTATGGGTAGGAATTTATATGAAAATTAAGAGACAAAGACATGTAATTTTAGCTATATAAATATTCTTAAAAACAAACGTCTTCCCGTGACAATGAAAAAAAATGCGCCAAGTCAAACATTTTATGAGAAAGCATATGCTCGAAGGTATTTTTGAGTTCAAAGAGCATATTATTCATTTTTTTATTAAAAATTATCAATAAATAATTAAAATTTTTTAAAATTTTAGATCAATCTGATATGTATAATATTATATCATTATTTTACTTTATAAATTTCATATCTTTTACTTATAAATAAAGATATTTAAAAATTATTATTTTATTTTCATTCTATTATTACAACCCTATTTTTTTCCTTTTAATTTCTAGTCTCAATCTTTAGCTTGAGCTTCTAAATGCAAACAAATGAAACATCTCCTACTTTGTCTTTAATCACTTTTATTTTATTTTATTATGATTTCAGAGCCCAACATCAACAAAAGTCAATTTAAATCAATACAACACAAAAGTCCGTGCCTTGTTTTAATGTCTTCGTCAATTTTCAAAGTCTTGCAATTGTTTTCGTTTACCTTAGAATTTGTTGTACCAACTTTGCAAATTGCTAAAAATAAAAAAGCTGATTGGAAATAGAGTAGCTTGGTTAACAATTCTAATGGTGAGTCACGTTTCCGGCACACAGCTCGACATGTTCAGCTTTATGAGTGTAATAAAGTGAATTCCTTTAAATGACATCATTAGGTGATTAAAAACTTCAACAAAGATGAGTGTTGGTTCAATTGACTATAACTTTTAAATTGAGTGTCTTGAGAATAAAATTTAAATTTTAATATTTATAATTTTTTTTCTCAGGCATTCCTTCTCTTATTTCAATATATAAAAACATTTAATTTATCATTAACAATGTAAAAACAAAAAATTTAATTCATATGTATTAGACATTGCTAAACTTACCATCAAAATATTATATCTTGTTAGAGGCTTTAAAACAATCCTTAGCTTGGTAATTAGTTTGTAAATTACTTCTTTTTCCTATTTATTATTACTTTTGGAAAATTCTTTTTTCCTATCAATGAAAATAATCAATTTTATCCGTACTCATTACTATGAATATATAAATGTTTTAATGGAGAAGGCTTTCAAACTTTGACTATATAATTAAATTTTTTGATTAAATTAATATTTGATTATGCTGCTATATTTTTAAGTGCTAATAGGTCGGTTATTCCTTTAAACTCAAAAAGCGGTGAAATTTCAAAATTTTTTAAATTCTTATCATCAGGAGTGAAAAAAATAAAAAATTTAAAATTAATTTAAAATTATAGAATTTATTTAGTTGAAATTAATTTTTTATTCGATTCAGATTAAATTTAAATATTAAATATATATTAAATTCAGATTAAAAAGTAAAAAACTAAAAAAAAAAAAAGAACCTAATGAAATTGTACATTTTTATTAATTTTTATATATTTTTTAAACTTTTATAAAATACAATAATAATTTTATTCTTAAATTTATTTAAATATATTAAAATAATATAAAAAAATTAAAATTTGAAAATTTATAAATCAAATCAAATTATACCGATAAAACTTGATTCCAATTAAATCAAATTATATAAAAATGATACACACTGCTCCCGAAGTCAATGGTCAAGTCTATTTCCTTCCGAAGGTGATACACATTGCTTAATATAGAAATAATGGAAAACTATGTCACATCTTTCCATTGACTTGACTTAGAACTTGACTAGATTTTCCAATTTCGGATAATAATTTCATAATTCACATGTTTCTCCAATTATTGTAAATTTCTTTTTTCATGGTACGGCTATTTTTACGAGATCGTATTGGATTTACAGATTATTTATTAAATTAAATTATTAACAACAAAAATTAATTTTAAAAATTAAAAAAAAAAAATTTAATCTTTCACAATTCAACCGATATCATTACCAACTACTGTAAATTTCACAGCTAAGAGCCTCATGCCACTTTGGGATATCTACAATATTCGTATTTGTTTTAGACTACATTTTATTAATATTATTGTTATTATGGATCAACAAAAATGTAAATTTACAACTGTAAATTCATGATTACTGAAAGTGAAAAAGGAAAAGCTGGTAGATTAATTTCCTTGAAAAAGGGTCAAGCCCCGTGTATCTTACTTTTCACTTTGCTTGCAAAATTTCCTGGCATTTCTTATTGTACTTATCACAATTATTATCATCATTATCAATATCAATTTATCTTCTTAATATTAAGTTTTCTAAATATTATCTCTATCCCTTTCTAAATATTGGGATTATTACGTGCAGTAAATTTGTGTCCAACCCAGTCTCAGATGAAATTACAGAGAACTTTCTTCATTGACCGGAAAGGGGCAAGGAAATTAAGAAAAAGGTGGAAAATATAAATGCAAAAATTAATTCCTAATAAAGGCTGGTTTAACATGGAAAAGAAAAGCATCTTTTGAATTAAAATTTTTTTATCCGACTTGAATCCTAAACGACAATATATATATATATATATATATAACTTTTTATATAAAAACTTGATTTACAAATTAAAATAAAAAATTAATGTCATAAATAATTTTCAAATTATAATGAAATATTTAGTGAGATATCTAAATTTTAAAAATTTTAATTTTAATTATAAATTTATTAATTAATGTGATATTTAAATAATTATTTATTTATCACGTATATTATTTGAAGCTAGTCATGTTAAAAGTAAGTAACACATTAACGAATAGATTCATAATTAAAATTATTAAAAAATAAATAAATAATAAAATAATAAAAAATAATTTTAACTTTAACACATAAAAATATTTTTTTAAAAGCAATTATGCTTATAAAATATAATAAAATCTAAAACTCTATAATAAAAAGTAATAATAACAATTATACTAAAAAATTTATTTATAATAAATGAACATATATAAATTTTTATTCAAATAATTATAATTTTTTATATAATTATAACATTTATGAACAATAATATATTTATATTTAAATAATTATTACTATTTATCATATAATAATTATTTTATTTAAATATATTTATTTAAAATATGAATAAAATTAATGTAAAATTAATTTTATACATCAATAATTAAAATTTTTTATATAAGGAGATATATCCCATTTTAAAGTATCAATAAAAATATCACATTAAAAAATTTTAAAATTCATGTACCAAATTAAATATTTTATTCTAATTCAATAACCATTAATGATATTGGATTTGGTCAGAGCAGTTACTTCAAGAAGCTACAGTGAAGGTGGACAAGAAATTTCTTGGAAAACAAAAGGAGAAAAGAAAAAGTAGGAAAAGGATAACGAGCTTTGCATGCACTCTATAAATTTGCAATTATACTAACTCTTCCTTCGTATCACAGCCAAAGTATTTCCTCACAAATTCGTACACTTTTGACTTAACCGAAACTCCTTTTCTCCATCTTGTTTTCCTTCTACACCCTAAAGAAATATTCTTACTGAAATCGTTTTAACCCTTTCGTCCCTGTCGTTTAACATGTCTTTGATAAATCGTAAGCCTGCTGAACCAGCCATGTCTGATGCAGAAGATATGCCGGCAGCAAAACGTCAGCAACGGAGGTGGCGTTCGGTTTTTGCGGCCATATATTCTGCTAGGACTCTTGTTTCTTTGTACATGAAGGTTATTAACAAGAAGCAGATCTTGCGTACTCTATCCTATATTGCCCTTGATATCCATGACAATGACTCCAGTGATGATCACCTACCTTCTCTCTGTGTTGATCAAAAAACACTCACTGAGGTGGTAAGAGAGAAGAACCTTGAAACCCTAAGTAAACTTGGAGGAGTAAAACAGATTGCTGCATGTCTTGAAACTGATGAGAAGGATGGTATCAGTGCCGATCAGGCTGATCTTACACACAGGATTGATGTCTTTGGCGCCAACAGGTATCAGAAACCACCTACTAAAAGCTTTCTTAGCTTTATTTTTGAAGCTTTTAAGGATACCACCATTTGCATACTCTTGGTTTGTGCTATACTCTCGCTGGGCTTTGGCATTAAGCAGCATGGCATAGCAGATGGATGGTACGATGGTGGGAGTATTATCGTTGCTGTCTTTCTCGTTGTTGCTGTATCTGCTGTCAGTAACTTCAGGCAAAACAGACAATTCCAGAAACTTTCAAATGAGAGTAGTGATATAAGAGTGGAAGTAGTGAGAGATGGTCGACGCCAATATATATCAGTCTTTGAAGTTGTTGTGGGTGATATTGTGTGCTTGAAAATTGGTGATCAAATTCCCGCAGATGGATTGTTCTTGGATGGCCACTCCTTGAAGGTGGATGAATCTAGCATGACTGGGGAAAGCGACCAAGTTGAGATCAATGGCAGCAACAATCCTTTTGTCCTCTCTGGTACAAAGGTGACCGATGGGTTTGGTTCCATGCTTGTCACTTCTGTTGGCATGAATACTGCATGGGGAGAGATGATGAGTTCCATAAATCGGGACTTAGATGAGGAGACCCCATTACAGGCTCGCCTCAACAAGCTGACTTCTTTTATTGGGAAGATCGGATTGGCAGTGGCCGTACTTGTTCTTGCAGTTTTGCTTATTCGTTACTTCACTGGAAACACAAAAGATGACAAGGGAAACAAAGAATATATTCCGGGGAAGACAAAGCTTGACAGCATGATGAACTCAGTCGTGGATATTATTTCGGCAGCAATTACCATTGTGGTAGTAGCAATTCCAGAAGGTCTACCTTTGGCAGTAACTCTAACTCTGGCTTACTCTATGAAGCAAATGATGGCTGATCATGCAATGGTCAGAAAGCTATCTGCCTGTGAGACGATGGGTTCAGCCACAACAATCTGCACAGATAAGACAGGTACCCTTACTTTAAATGAAATGAAGGTTACTGAGTTTTGGGTAGGGAAAGAATTTATGAAGGATAGAATTTCCTCGGAAATAGCACCTAATGTCCATGAGTTACTGCAACAAGCCATTGCTTTAAACACAACTGGTACTGTTTATAGGCCAAACTCTAGATCACTTCCTGAGATTTCTGGTAGTCCAACTGAGAAAGCAATACTCTCTTGGGCTGTCTTAGATTTGGGGATGAACCTAGATGACCCAAAGCAAAATTATGAACTCATCCAAGTAGTGGCCTTCAATTCAGAGAAGAAAAAGAGCGGAGTTCTGATAAGGAGGAACGGTGAGGGTGCTACACACGTACACTGGAAGGGTGCTACTGAGATGATCGTGGCAATGTGTTCACAATATTATGATAGAAGAGGAACAATTAAAGCCATGGATGATGAAGAAAGAACAGAGATTGGGACAATTATTCAGAATATGGCTGCAAAAAGCTTGAGGTGCATAGCATTTGCTCACACCAAAATTCCAGAAGACAATGAGCAGGTTTTGGAAGAAAGCAGACTCACCTTGTTAGGGATGGTAGGTTTGAAAGACCCATGTCGTCCTGGTGCCAGAATAGCCGTGGAATCTTGCATAGATGCTGGAGTAAACATCAAGATGATAACTGGAGACAATGTCTTCACAGCAAAGGCTATAGCGATTGAATGTGGCATTCTGGAACCTCATGAGGATATGAACGAAGCGGTAATAGAAGGTGTACAGTTCAGAAATTACTCACCACAAGAGAGAATGGCAAAGATCAATAAAATCCGTGTGATGGCCAGATCGTCACCTTTTGATAAACTTCTGATGGTACAGTGTCTAAAGCAGAATGGTCATGTTGTAGCAGTCACGGGGGATGGAACGAATGATGCACCAGCTTTAAAGGAAGCAGATATTGGACTTTCCATGGGAATCCAAGGAACTGAAGTTGCCAAGGAAAGCTCAGATATAGTCATCTTGGATGATAACTTCACCTCTGTGGTGACAGTTTTAAGGTGGGGTAGGTGTGTCTTCAACAACATTCAGAAATTTATTCAGTTTCAACTCACAGTTAATATAGCAGCCCTAGCCATCAACTTTATTGCAGCAATATCCTCTGGTGAAGTCCCACTGACAGCTGTCCAGCTTTTGTGGGTGAACCTAATAATGGATACCTTGGGAGCTTTAGCTTTGGCCACTGAGCGACCTACCAATGATCTCATGACAAAGCCACCTGTGGGTCGATCCAAGCCCCTAATTTCGAACATCATGTGGAGGAAACCTCATTGCTCAAGCCTTGTATCAAGTTGCAGTTCTACTAACCCTTTCAGTTCAGGGGGAAAATCTATCTTTGGTGTGGACGAGAAGGTCAAGAACACACTCATTTTCAACACTTTTGTCCTCTGTCAAGTGTTCAATGAGTTTAATGCCAGAAAACTAGAAAAGAAGAATATATTCAAGGGACTACACAAGAACAAACTCTTTCTTGGGATCATTGGCATAACTATAATTCTTCAAGTGGTAATGGTGGAATTCTTAAAGAGGTTTGCTAACACTCAGAGGCTGGACTGGGGGCAATGGGGTGCTTGTATTGGAATTGCAGCTTTGTCTTGGCCACTTGCCTGGCTAGTTAAGTGGATTCCAGTATGAAGCATTTCTCCTCTGCGATCAGAGGGCTTTTGCATCCTGGAAAGATCAGTCAGTTCACATGAGATAGTCTTTTTATTTTCTAAGTAGTAGGAATAAAAATACATAACCTTAGTAGTTTCTCTTTACTATTCCTGATGCAGGCTTCTGTTTTCCTTCTTTTCAATATTTATATCTGTTCTAGTTTCATTTTAATTGTTGAATGTAAGCTTCTATGAGAAGAATCAAGATTCATTTGTTGCTTATACATGCATTAACTTCAAAATAAACTGTTTTGCACCACATTATTATGCAATCACTATGCTGAAAGAAAACCCTCGTCTAATGCAAATAAATTACATATGTCATTTGGTTTTAGTGGATAACAATGTAGCCATGCAGGTTAGGCTTCATATTGTAGACATATTACTAGTAGATATGAAATTAAGCTTTTTGCTCTCTCCAGGGGATGTAACAATAATGAGATGAAACTTTCCTCGAAATCCGATAATCTATTTTAAGAACAATAATCTTTGTAAGTCTATCAAAACTTATGATAACCAGTTCACAAACACACAGACCACCCATCATGTTATAATTTCAAACGATCAAAATATTCCACTGTAGAGCACAGAGTTGGCTTTAACTGCAAGAGGTAAATAAGACATTTTAATTAGCTCTTTCATCGTTCACTTTAGAATTCACTAGCTTCGAGAAAAGAGGACCCCTTTAGTTGATTTTGCAGTTTAATCATCCAGAGGTACCATACAAGAAGGTGCCCATTGCATTGAGCACGTAGAAAATCATTGATTTATTAGTCCCTTTTGACTGCAACTGTAGCCAAAACAAAGCTAACTGATATGCAAAACAAAGTATATGTTTAAAAGACATAATTATCATGAAAAACCCTGAAAGTTCAATTTTCAAGGGAAACAAAGGAGAAACTGCATAATTGGCAGTGCCTTGCGGTGCTATAAATTTCTAGCATTGAAAGAAAAAAGAAAGAACTATAAGAAATTACCATTATCATCCTCATATAAACTCCAGCTATCTCAATAGCAATATAGTAAACTTCAATCCGAAGTCGCATGCAATGACCCATTTATAACCAGTATGAATCTTTAATTTTTACTGTTTATTCAGCGGAAGAGTGTCACCAATGAAAGCCAACTCATTGATCAATGATCAGTCAATAACTGTTTAAGGCTTCTATATCTCTCACCAATACTTCATCTTTCTCACAAGTCACAACATAGCATAACTTTCAAAGAACTTTTTCACGTAACACATGCAATACAAGTATGTTGCAATTTCCACAACAAAGCTAGAATTCTATCACTTGACAGGCTCTTTCTTAAGTGGAAACAGAATCATTGTTGTCCCAGGTTGTTGGTAATAAAAAACATGTTTGGGACCCATTACTCTCACAGAAAAAGCTGAATTTGACAATTTGTCGTCACATTTTTGCTTCGTCCAATATTGAAAAATTCTAAAACCTTTGCTCAAACCTATTGATCGACCAGATTATAACTCGAGCCAATACCCAGCGGCTAGCACGGGTACGTGGTCTGAATATCACTCAAGTAACACCCTCATCAAATAACTAAAGTCGAGAAATTGTATGTAACATAGGAATGGATCAACTATGCCTAGTTCAGCTTTAGCATCAATGCCAGCTATTAAGCTGGATGAATCTCATCTCAAACAGAATAAAGAATAACACAAAGGAACAACCTAAATATCCTTGCAACCAACATGTTACTGCAGAACAACTGAAACAACACTTGGCAATCAATTTTAATTCATTCAATGGAAAATTTTCTCAAACAAAACTTCTTTTTGATGCAATCCAAAATGAAAATGGTCATCTAATCTCAGTTTTGTTTATTTCTTGCTTCTTGAGCATAACTTTTAACACCAAAAGCATTAACTTTGTAACACTCCAATTGTTATTATATATTCAGCAAAACAGAACCAAGGCTCATAGAGCAAGTGGCATAATAAATTAATTCAAATTCTTTATTTTTATATTCAATTAACTATAAATAATTTCTGCATGCAAAGACTGGAACTTGCTCCAGCTTATCACATCAACATCCATTAATTAAAGCCGGAAAAATCATATTTTAGCATTAAGATTATTGTTTTAATGGAAAAAAAGTCACCCCATTAAGCAAGGAGGCATTTTTTTGAAGAAAACTTGAACTGGGTCAGTAAAATACATCAAATTTCAATAGAAAAAACACAAAAATAGAACATTTGATGCAAAAGCTGAAATGAGTAGTTTATAAAAATGTTAAATTTGACTGGTTGTTGAAGGACAAAGCTTTAAAAAAGGAAAAAAAAAAAAAAAGGACAATTCAGTAAACATATGGGTCCAAAGCTAATTCAACAA